CAGCATCCCGGGGCAGGACTATAGATACGGATGTATGGACATTATGGTGCGCACGGTCAATTTATTACGTTCGCGCTTTAGCCGCCCATGCATGGCTGCACATTAAAAAGCAGATTTAATTAACTTTGGCCAAACTTTTATTAATATTGAACGCGTTTATGGTGGGCGGTGGCTGGGGGGCGGGCCCAGCTGATGAAGCCCCACCATTCGGCACCCGATGGGAAAAAAGGAAAAGGGCGTTAAATGCGCTAAGCAAGTTTAAGCCGTAATAATAAAAAGTAGCGCACAAGAAAATAAATAAATAAAAGACATACCATCAGCACGCATTACGTACACAATTTACTTTATTGCATAAACTGATTATAGTTTTAATGCCGCACAGGGCGAGACTGGGAAAAGCCGGGCCACAGGGCTGGGAAAAGGGGGGAAATCCGGGGCGGGCGGGAGCGTAGACGGAGACGTTCGACATTCAGGCTGGCGGGCAGAAAAACTTTAATATCCTGACGTTATTATCATTATTAAACTGTGAATGGCATAATAAACGAACAGGGTAACCACAGCGAGTCGCGCACAGCGCGCATTCCCAAGTTTCTTCAAGTACGATGGACTGAAAGAGCGAAAAGTGTAGGGAATTCGGAGGAGAATTTAAAAAAATATTATTCTGAAGACTTTTTTTTTTTTAATTTTTTACCAAATAAAAATTGATATTGTAATAAGAAACTTATCAAGGTTTATGATAATTAAATGTAAGAACTGATATATTAGGAACCTACAAAAAACATAAAGTATAAACATTTTATTTCATTAGAATTAAATAAGTTCAATAACATTTTCCACTTTTTTTTCCATAACTCAGTTTTAGAATTCTGCAGAATTTTCTACGGTGCGTTAAGAGTAGCTGCAAAATGTTGTGTTTACCGTCAACATCCGGCTGAAGTGCACCAGCTCTGGGCCAAAAGACAATACGCCCCGTTATCGATGTGCGGCTTGAAGTTATGGCTGCGTAATAATCTATTGAGATGCGTTTTATTGCGCATACGCCGCGTACGCCAGCCAAAGCAGTCGGCTGCGGAGTCGTAAGCACTACCATGGCCCTGAGCTGCACTTAAGATCCACATGCAATGCATTAAGAGCCCCTATGGCTTTCGCTCGATGGCGAAAAGATTTGGGCCGGGCTGCAGAGTGCCGGGCCAGGCGAATGGAAGCGGAAAACTGTTGCTAATTTCGAATTGCAGACCGGATTGGAAAGTCTGAGCTGCCGGCGGTGAAGGCAACATTCGGCCACAATTCCTTCGGCATTGATTCCGCTTCGCAGCTCATTTCGTACAGCCAACGGTCACTAATTAGTCGTTAATGATGCATTTCCCCAGATTGCATGTCTCGATTATTTCGTTTCACTTCGTTTGGCTTGGGTTACCCACAGAGCACGCACATGCCTTCCGAGTTAATCTTGTATCTGGAATCCCGGCAGACACGCAATATTGAAGCCCTGCGGAAAGTCAACAGCGAACGGCGGATAAAAAATCTTCTTACTCACGCCATGAGTCGGAGTTTTCCCGCTCCGTGATTCCTTTATCCTTATTTACCTGTAAGGAGATAACAGCAACGGGCGCTACGGAACGAAGAGGGGGTAAAAATTTGTATTTGGCATTTCAATTTGCTTTGCATATAATTATTATTGTATTACGCATACACCCCAAGGGCTACGCACTCACTCTCGCACACAGGGAATTATTCCGGCTGGCATGCATGATACAACTTTCCCAACTTCAGCCACCGGATTTCCATGTGAGTACACAGGAAAAAATTTGCATAAATCCAGGCAAAATATTTGCATTGCTCAGCCACCCGCTCCCTGCTTTTCAGCAGCATTTAAGCCATTAATTTGCATTCATGGAATATTGCCCAATCCTGATTTTAATTTCCAACTGAAAATATGTATCCTCAAGCATTCGGCAGATGGGCAGAAGTTTCCTTAGAATTTTTAGCTGCTCTCCGTTTGCATTGCTTAAGCCAAAAGCTGGTGGTAAAGCCACATTTTTTCCTCGTTCAAGTGGCTCGTGCGGGCTTTAAATTTAAAAATATATCGGTGGAAAAACTCATCAATTCGTGGAAAATTTATTGCGCGTCATTTCTGATTATTCACCGAGAATTCCCGCCTGACCGAGGAAATTGACATCTGGACTTGGCTGTCATTAATTTGCTTCGTTAATGTGAAAGCAAACAATGTGAAAATGGCGCGGAGTCATTATTTTACATTGTAATTAAAATTATGCCACTCCACACACAAGTATTCTCGATAATGCTTATGCAGGACTCAATTTGTTGTTACATAATTACAAGAAATAACACCGCGGGCCATTATGAGTGCAAACAAAGGCCACAATTAAAATCGTTAATGCTGCCGTTAAAAAGTACAAAGTCAATGGGATTTGCACTAAAATCACTCCCACTAATTAACGCAGCCCCCTCTCCAACGCCTGCATTATCCCGAAGATATTATCTGGCTGTCATTCACTTGGAAATTCGGCTCACTCCACCACCACCCACACCCCCACCCTCATTCCATTTAGAAGCTACAAATGTATGTTTTACCGGTATCTTTGCCCAGCATCTATGCACCTGGCCGTAAAACTCATTCGTTGCTCAGTGAACACCGAGCTAATTGATTACAACAAATTCAATTCGTGTTTAATTAAATTAAAATTTTGATTTTATCACAACTCTGCCCCGCAGCATATGTTAATGCCCGGGGGACTGTGGCCGGCCTTAAATGGATATTTGTAAATTTAAATGGAATTCCAGCCAGAAAAGCCGGAAGTGAAGCGGCAGGCTGTGCGCAATTACCCCACCTAATTAATGATCTGCCGGGCCGCAAGTACGTGCTTGATTAAAATTTGTGTGTAGCTAACGCATTAATTAAAGTTTCATAAGAAGGAGAAAACGAATCGAAAAACGGAAAAAAGAAGGCGAAACAAGGACTCCTATTTAAATATTTATTCCACTCATTTGTATTGTGGAAGATGGAAGAGAGGCCCCGAGACCTGGAGACAGAAATTACCTTTAGCACACAAATTGCATTTGCGTGTCAACCGCAGTGCGTCAAAGGGGGCGGGAATGTCCTGGGGCGGCCTCAAGTTTGAATGTGTGAGCGAGTGAGAGAGTGAGTGAGTGTGTCTCTGGAACATGCGAAGCGTGCGTAAGTCGGCAACATGTAAACGCGTATTAATTAAGCCAAAACAAAGCGCCGCCGCTCAAGAACCAGACGAAATGCGAAGACGATGAGGACGAGGACGACGAGGACATGCAAAAGGAGTGGCACATGGCAGGGGGCGTGGCAAGTCAAGAGCTTGTTCACTGCCATTTCCCCCTGTCAAGGCCTCAATGTGTCCGTAGAAAATGGAAATGTCCTTATAATACGCCAGACGTGGTACATTTAATTTCTTTTTTGTGTGTGCGGCTTTCTTTGACTGATTCTTTTGATTCCATTTATACATTTTAATTACACAACCATCTCACATATTACTCGCATATCTCACTGTAGTTAACAGGCGTTTTATTTAAATAGTCCCCTAATGAACCAGTTCTCCCGTCCTCCCCCCGTTTCTCACGTTTTCGTTCTCGGCTGGGGAGCAGGTGAATAGCCCTCGAAGTTGTCGGCCTGCCGGCGACACTTTTCCGGCATTGTCACACCTGTCAGCAGCAGGCGGTCCGAGCTGCCACAAATGTCAGTCCCGCTTTAAATGGACAGTGAAGTGGAGTAAGCTTCAAATATATTTGCATCTGCCACGAATCAATTAGGGTAAAATCCATTTAAACACTCACAAAAATAAAAATTAATTGTAAATAATAATAATACTTGAAATGCTTCATAAAAAAGATAAAAAACCTATTTTAATTTAACAAAGTCTAAAAGATTGTATATGTTTGAAAGAAGAAACTCAGTAGAAACTAATTGGTTCTTATTTTTTTCTAATTTCTAAACAATACTTAAAATTTTACAATCCGACAGTTTCCCTGGCTTTTGATTTCCTTTTCCTTTCTTAAGTTAAATAAATTGGAAATTTCCTAACTATATTTGTAAGTAAACAATTGGCCTGGCTTTTGATCTGACTAACAGTTTTCGTTTGAGTGCATTTAATAGCGCGAAAATGGGCTGTCATGGGGCTCCAATTCAATTTTCGTGCCCACTTTAATTGCAATTCGTGTTAATTTGGCCGGCGAAACTTGGGTTAACAACCACTTGAGGCGGCCAGCTGCCACTTCATCGGTCATTATGGTCAGCCATAAACAAATCAGCAAACAAAGTGGCCGCCACCTGCCGCCTTTCGATGGCCACGTCGCCACTTTGCACACCCACTTTTCGCACAAATTGCACGTTGGGCGCCACGAAAAGTTGCGACCCCAAGGAAAAGGGAGCGGAAGAGCCGGAAAACCCAAGCGAAGAAAGCGAAGGGAAACAAAGAAGAGAGCGAAAAGAAAATCATTCATTATCATGTCACGTCAATCGAAAAACAATCTAATGACTGCACATGATTTCTATCTCGAATTGGTCGGACAGGAGGCTGGAAAAGGGGGAAAGGAGGAGAGCAAGCCGGAAAATCGGCCCACATACGCAGCCGGCTTACTCACACATGCCCACAGAAGTGGTTGAAAAGTTTGCGGCCAAACGTTTATTATGCATTAGCCATGCTTAAACGGTTAAATCAACTGTAAATCTCTCTGCCCACAATAAGGTCGTTGGGGTGGCCTTCGATGGGCGGTCAACTGCACAAGTCAAGTGTGAAATGTGTGTGGATGAGTGTGATTTGATAAATCACTGCGATACTGGGCTCGTGGGTGTGGGGCTTATCGGAAACTTAGATACCATAGCATAGGCTTTTCCAGTTGATTAGGGAGTTAGAGTTTCTCAGGTTTGAGTTTCAATTTCAAGATTTTAAAATTTTGCAGGATTACAACTGATATCTGGCACAAGAAGTAGATAACTAGCACCATCTAAAAAAATCCTAATAGACTTTCCGAGTAAAGTCAACTAAGTCAGCATAAATTATTCAGTTCAGTGTAGTTTCTTATATTTTAAATTGCCATTATGTACAAGTAAGTATTTATCATTTGATAAGTTATTATCGTGGGTGACACATAAATTATTTCCAACCGAAATCCAACCGAGATTAGTGTGACACCCCCCTATAAGTTTTTATTAATTTTATCATCCCTAATTGTGTTTATTTTTTAAATTTCAGCCGTAGAGCCACCACGTAAGTATCGTTCGTTAGTCGTTCCGTCTCAAGTATTTCCACATTTTCCTCCACTAAGCAGTAGCATCCTTGAAGAGGCGGTAAAATATGTTTATCAGTATCCTCTGTTGCCGGTTCCACTGATCGATTATGGCTTCATCTACAATCTGGTGTGCAAGAAACCCCGGGATGTCAGTCTGCCGTTGATCCTCGAAGTGCCAACGGAGTGTAAGTCCAAGTCCAGTGCCTCTGAGAAGCCAAAGAAGGTAGCCCGACTCTCATATCATTCACGATCGAGCTCAATGAGTGATAAGGAGTCGGAACCGGAAGTGGAGATCAAATACCGCTGGAACTCGCCCCGCCTGATGATCCTCTGCGAGGACGGGGATATCAATTGTGCCTTGCACTATCTGATTGAATCCCTTCAGGATCCGTTTTCCTGCAATGCAGTGGCAACTCTCTTCTTGCAGGAATCTATTCTGGAGGAGTTTGTAGATCGAATGAAAGATCGTTTGGAACCACTGAGTTCGGATATCTCCGGGCATCCTGTTTATGTTAAAACGGTGGAGAGACTGCAGCAACTGCAGGCTAAAACTATAGTGGGAAATCCCAAGACGGTTCCCGAGAATGCGAGTCCCATTCTGGTCTACGATCTGTGCCATCGCTACTTGGCTGACGGGCCCACCGGTGTAATAACCGTGCACACTTTCAGGACCATGAAGGAGGCCGTTGATCTGCAGGCCAAGGAACCACTTCCCTTCACCTCCGTCTGCATTTGGAACGAGAAGCTGGGAGCCGCCTACGAACTGGTGGCCCGATTCAGGCCCCTGATCTTCCTGCTCAACTGCTACTACGTGGACCTGGATCAAATCAGCCTGTCATACATATGCAACTTTAACTCCGCCAAGATCGTAGACGGCTACCACTACGAGTCGCTGACCTTCAAGGAAAAGCGCAAAATCGTTGTGCATCCCGTTGGCACCATCTGGGGAAAGCTGGCCCGGGAGGGCCACATTCAGTACTGATCTCTCCCAGCGGGGTCACACCTGGTCACAGCCTTTCGGCTGGTGGGTAATTTAAATTACTAGTCATCGATCGGGGTCACTGACTAATTGACTTTCCGGCTGGGCAACTGCCCACCGCCAGGAGCTTTGGTCTATAATTTTCTGGGGAAACTGGGAAAACTCAACAGGCCTCTTCCCCGGGGATAATCAATGGAAATTGTGAGCGACTTTGTATTGTGAAATTAAAAATTCCTTCTGCGAAGTAATTCACCTAACGTGCCAATAATTTCAAAAATTTACTTTGCCCCACCGCCACTTCCCCTAATTTCCCCGCTCCCAACGAGCGCACAACAAAGGCAACAAAGGAAGTTCGTGTTGGCAACAAAATGTTGAGGCTGCCAGGTGAGCGGGTGGTGGGTGGTGGTGGGCTGAGGTCGGTGGTTGGGTGGCAGGTGGAATTCCGAAAATGCCATAATTACTCCACTTGCTGCCTGCCAAGAGATGGACGTGGAAGGGGGTTGGAGGTAAGGTGGCAAGGAGGGGGCTGGGCGGTCATATTAGTGGCACATTTCGGCTTGTTGGTTGGCCAAATAATACGGGAATGACTTTGGCCAAACGAGGGTTGGGCAACTTTATAATGTACTTCCGTTTGCTTTCATTCACATGGCAGCGGAATATCAAAATATTTGACATTTGCATAAATAACACGGGCAACGGCGGCGATCTCGGGCAAGTTGAAAGGCAAATAAGGCCCATACTTTCGCCCGACCCCCAAACCACACACATATCATGCCTGGAATTGGGCAAATTTTAAAAACCAGCACATGCCGTCGCCGGAGAGCAAGTGGGATGGATGGAATGGAGGGGAAATATGCAGCGCAGGCAGCGAAAACAAAACCGTGGAATTTCTGCCCACCAGAGTCCGGACTCCTGCCTACGGACTCCGCCGACTGGGTGAGTCCGGTGGCTATGGGCAAATAAGATTTGCGTGGAATTCGGCCGAATTCAACCAGCTACGAGGGCCCCTGGTATGGTATGGAATGGTATGGTATAGCATGTCGGCAAAGCACGGCCTGCTCACTAAATAAACAAATTCATAAACAAACAAGTGCGAAAAATATGGGACTTTGCTTAGGCCCCCGTTTAATACCCTGATGGAGCCATCCAAATGAATTGTTCAATATGACAGAAAGTAAGTTGTGGACCGGGCAAAAATATGAAATACGTCAAAGGACAAGTTTTTAGCGGCATAAGCTTTTTTGGCGTTCGGTCATAAAAATGTTAGTTTAACTGGGTAAATTCTTAAACAATGATACATTAAATTATAATAACGATTATAATAACGATAGGGGAATGTAAGTTATAAACATTTTAACTAAAGATTTTTAAAAAGTTGTTAGCAAGAGCTCTGTACATTAAAACACTAAAAAAAGTAATTTAATAAATAGTATAGAATTCTCGTTTCATTCCCTATATAGAGTCCCTAAATGGACAATGCGGGGTATTCAAAATAATTGCTAAAATTTTATTTTTTGAAATATCCAATTAAAAAAAATATATGGTTTTCAACCTTTTTATCCCTCAGTCTTAAGCTAGCACTACCCCACGTTAGGGCATATCGAAACACAACGGAAAAAAGCCGAATGCGGAAAAACCCCAGCGCGAAATGAAGTTTATTTATCCAGCGAATGGGCAAAAATTAGACGCGGCTGCATGCAAATTGGCAATTAGGAAATCCTTTATTTTATGAATTTTTCGCCAGAGTGCCGATTTCATTTTCTTCATGTTGGCTCGTTCGTTCGCTCCGGTTGGGTTTGAAGTGCAAATAAATGACTCCACCTCCGCATCCACATTCACTTCCACTTCCATCTCACGGCGTTGAAGCCCCATTTAGGGCTTTCATTCGGGTGTGTGTGGGGCTCGAGTGGGTGAGGAGTTCCATTTTTCACGCTTTTATTTGGCATTTTATTTTGGTAACGTATTTAATTTCATTGCTGGTTTTTGCCGGTGGTAATTTCGGCCATATGAATGGAAATGAATTCTGTTGAGTGGAGAAGGTTAACTCTGCAACTTGTGATGTATACAATTTAAATGAATTATTATGGGCGAATTCTGAGTGGTGCTTTTATGGGATTATCTTGGTAAACGGTGGCAACTTCCCGCCCAATTGCTGTAATCAGAGATTTAATGAGTTTCCAAGAGGTTCGCTGTTTGTTTCTGCTCAAATATCAAAATAAACCCCCGTATGTCTCGATTTTTCTTATTTTAGCTCCCCCCAAAAGCAATAACAGACTGGCCGGGATCAAATGCGGATATCTCTTGAAAAATAAATCCACAAGCGATAAATTTTGGCGTGCGGAGAACTCTTGAGGTTGGCCTGGAAACCGTTCACTTCACTTCAATTCCATTCGATTTTCGACCGTTGGTAATTGCAAAGGTGAGGGCCAAAAAAAAAAATATCTGGAAAAACGGCAAAAACAAAACAAAACAAAGAAAAGCCGAAAAACCCATGGAGAGCAGAGTGGAAATCTCAGTTAAGTTGAAAGATTACATCCTGTGTGGAAGGGACGTGGGACGTGGGTCTCAAACCTTAACTAAAAGTCAATTCCCAAATCAGCACAGCCAAATGACTGCGAAAGTAGCTTATTTCAATCGAACGTTTTGCAGGGCTCTGTTTAAATTGTGCAAATCCTTTTATTTTAACGACTTTAAACTTTTCTATTGTCTGCCCGCTTTTCCCACTTCTCTGCTTTCCGTTTGCTCCTTTTTTGGCCCCGATTGTTTGGCATTGTTTCATGCAAGTTTGATTTTCAAATCAACTGCAGGTTGCCTCCACCTTAATCCTGTCCCTTGTCTCCACTTAGTTGCTGTTGCCGTTGCCGTTGCTGTTGTTGTTTCGCCCCATTCAGTTGTCAAAATAAAAACCTGGCAACCTGTTGCTACGGAGGATTACTCGTGCGTTGAAAGCCCCCATCTCGAAAGGCCCGCCCATTCCGGCTCCCCAGCCCCCATACCACGTATAGAGGAAAAGTTTTCGCTTTGATATTTGATTTCTGTGCTGGCCTGCAATGGCAGAAATCACCGAAACGGAAAAAGGTTCAAATTACCGCGAGTTTTTAGCCGTTTTCCGTCGCCAACATTTTCGTCCTTCTGTTTTCCGTTCTGACGTTTTTTCGTTTTTTTCCGTTCTGTGTTGTTTAGTGTTGTGTGCACTTTACTTTTCGGCTTTGACTTTTATGCCATGCTGGTCTAAGTTTCGGCCCAATCAGGACCTGCAAGGACTCTGGGCCACTCTGGTGGTGAAGTGGGGATTGGAAGTTTTGACAAATATGCCGAGCAGCAGAGGCCACTCAGTGAGTTCATACCAATAGGATTACGGTCGGAATATTAGACACATGGAGAAAAAACACACAATAGTTTCTTCATAAGAAAGTTTTACTGAGATATTTGAAAAAGAAGATTGGAATTGATCATTTTAAATATTGTTATCGTGTTGATGGACACTCCAAATAATAATTAATATTTTGTATTATTCAGCTTAAAATTTTATTGTCAATAATTTTACATTGTAAATATTTATATTGTTTTAATAAAAAAATAAACTTAGAAAAACTCTATTTTATCGAAACAAATTTTATCCTGTTTTATTTATATTTGAAAAACCAATATAAATCCCATATCACCGCAAGTGGATCCGCGCATGTATTAGATAGTATCTAAAAACTTTTAAGAAAACAATAAACAACATCTTTTTAATTATTTTTGAAAGAATATATAGTCCTGCATACACTCAAAAGTTATCTAGTAAATGACTCCAAAATGATAACGTCCACGGCGAGACCTTTGACACCGAAAAATACATATGCGCTTGCTCTGATTTAAATATTTTATATTGAGCACAGACAATTTGCTTCGACAATATTCCTTTTTAAAAAGCGTACGCCACTTTAACATCCGTTCAATATCGATTTAATTAATTTGAGAAACGTCGGGGCTGATTAAATATTAACGGAGCTGACGTATTTATGCATGCCGACTGTGGATGTGAGTGCCAGCCCCTTTTGAGGGATCCTGCGGTTGCCTGTATCGCCTGACAGCCATTAGGAATATTGATTTCCATATCGCAACATTAACCGACGTCAGAAGGCAACAAAAAGTCGCATTCCCTAGCTGCAAAAAAGAAAGTACAGACGGGATACAGGATACCAACATTCGCACACTCGCTGGCACACACAGGCAGACTCACACACACATCTAAATGCGCTGACGTAATGTGAAAATTATGCGTTGTAATTTGCGCCATCAGAAGGAAACGGAAAGGCGGAAGACGACGCACTCAAACAAACAGAGGAGGGGAGGGGGAAAAGGACAGGGCGTCGGAAAAAAAAGAAAGGAAAACAAACGTAGAAAAAACACGCAGGATATTCCGAGTAAGAAGAAGAAGGTATAGGCGGGCAAACAGACACATTTACATATGCTTAGCTGTGTGTGTGTATGTATGCAGATGTGGACATGAAAAATTGGAACACTTTAGCAGTCAAAGCTGATTCACAGTTCCTATCTCCCCAGCCCCAAGATTTCCCTGTTGCTGTTGGCCTTGTTGTTTTTTGGCACTTTTTCACCATCGTCCTCTTCATCTCACTTTTTTCGCTTGTGGCCCAAAAGGAAGTTGTAAAAATAAAACATAGCACGTTCACAAGTCCCCAGAAACACCCGATAGAATGCTACGATTAGATGGGTTCCGACCCATGAATACCCGCTATATGGAAAGAGAATGATAAATACCTGCTAAACATAACTGTTGCTTGTTCTTAATTCTCTGTGAAACATAATAGGCGCATTACTTCTATTTAAAATACTTTAAAACTGCCTTGAAGAAAAATGTATTCCGCAAATTTTGTAAATAATCAAGAGTCATTGTTGGATAATAACATTGGATGAGAATACGAAAAAATATATATGCTAACTTTTAATGAAGGTATAAAGTGGTTTTGAAACAGGAGCCAAAAGCCAATTTGTATACACCATTAAACGAATAATATCCTGTAAAAATAAAAATTAATGCCTGTAAATCTATGGTATGCATGAAAACTCTTTTTGAAGCTTGGAAAACCAATGCAAATA